GGCAAGGACCAACGGAAACCAGCCGGATTCCGTAGCATTGCCCTACAGGAGCCGGCGGCCAAAGCGGTTCAGAAGGCCTGCCGGCCTTCCCTCCATGAGGCCCTTTCGGCGCGTGTGCTGCCATCTGTCGGGGGGGCAATGCGAGGGATTGCTCTCAGCCTACCGGCCTTAGCAGTGCAGACACACATACGCATTGCCACCCGCCGGGGTATGTCTGCTTCGGTGGTGTTCCTTGATGGTGTTGCTGCCTTCTATAGCACGAGTCGGCTGTCTCTCTTCGAGCATGACAGGCCAGCTTTTGAGGCTGCTACCAGGCAGCTCCCGGTTGAAACTGACATCACCGAATACTTTCTCGCTGCACTGCCGGAGACAGGCGCGCTACTTGATGCAGGTGTGCAACCGGGCACCCAAGCCTTCCTGCATACTTTCATGCGGCACACGTGGTTCTGCACAGATCCGCAGTCGGAGCGAGTGTACCACACTCAGGTGGGTACGGTCCCAGGAGCACCGTTAGCGGACCTGTTGTTCCAATATGCGGCCCATGCAGCCCTCCTTACCATAGAGCACTTCATGAGGGTGGAGCATCTTGCTGCGTCCATCTTGCTAGGAGACGGGGCGGTGCCCTCTCAGCCTGTGACTTGGCTCGACGATGTCGCGCTTCTAGTCGAAGCTGCTGTTCCTTCGGAGCTGGGGTCTCGCACCGCGCGCGCCGCTTCCATTGCGCGCCAGTGCTTCCAGCTTATTGGTATCAGTACCAATCTGGAACCAGGCAAAACCGAAGCTCTTATGATTTTCAAGGGGCGCGGCAGCAGGGCCGCCGCACACGAGGTCATGGTTACGCAGAACTCCACCCTGCAGATCACCGGGCCACACGAAAGTCCGCTCCGGCTCCGTGTGACGCCCCGATACGTCCACCTTGGGACGCAGCGTAATGTTACGGGAGGAGCCGGGGAAGACTTGAAGCGCAGGGCAGGGTTGGCTAGGGTTGTCTACAAGCCCTTTCGGGCCAGGCTCCTTCGCAACGAATGCCTCTCGGTTGCAGAGCGAATGCACATGCTTCTCAGCATGGTGCTGGCCTCCTTCCTGCATGGAGTGGAGTCGTGGGCCTTTCGCGTAACTGGCGAGTTCCAGGCTTTCCGCAAACAGTATATGGCCTTCTTCCGTGGGGCGGTTCGACCTCTTTTTGGAGTCAGCTGCAGACGGATGGAAGATAGCCAGGTTTGTGCTATGCTTGGGGTGTCTAGCGCCAGAGAAGAGCTGGCCATTCGTCGGCTACGAGCCTTCGCGCAAGTCTGTCAGCGGGGCTCTGACTTCTTGCGTGCTGCACTGGTCCAGGAGCAGGAATGGCTGCTTGCTGTTCGTGACGATGCACAGCTGTTGGCTTCCAAGCTCACCATGCCTGCGGCGGTTGAGCTTTCTGGGCCCCCGACTTTGGCATGGTTTGAGAACTGGCCTCTCACCAGTCGCGCCATTGCCAACACCCTGAAGGCCTTCCGTAAGCGCTGCATCAAGGACAGGGATCACTTAGTTGGGCCGGCACTATACAGCTTACGCCTCCAACAGATCGCCGAGGATTATAGCCTCCAACAACTCAAGCCTACTGAAGTTTGGCCTGACCTCGGTGATGACGGCGAGGACTATCCTTGTGGTATTTGCAGTAATCCTTTAAGACTGCGGCAGCGGCAGGTGCGCACCGGAATAGAGCGCATCAAGTTCAGGCCCGTTACGCAGTTGCTTTCGGGACATCATGCCAAGTTTGCTGCAAGGAATTTTGGTCCCATCATCGTCTTCGTCTTCACCTTAAGGTCAATCCTCGCTGCGCCGACACTGTCATCGCTAGCGACATTGATGCGACGACTACAGACGGCATTGCGACCGGCGACGGCCACCTCCCAGTCGTGCCATTAGTTGGCCCGCAGCCCTTTTGGGCCACACTACGGCCACCGCCTGAAGAGTCTGGCTTCAACACGGTCCCGCAGGCGATTGGAATCGATAAGCTCTTGAAGTGGAAAGAGAGGCCTTTCGTCAAGGGTTTTTTCGAAGATCGAAAGCGTTTGGCACGGAGTGCCGAAGCAAATCTTTCAGAGCTGCTTGGAGCCGCTTGCTCTGCTTGTGATGATGCCCTTTTGGCGGCGGATTTCCTTGCAGCTCAGGATGGTTTTGAAGAGGGCTCCTTTGTGCAGTTCCGGGGCTTCTCTTTCCTTCGACTTGCCGATGTGATCTGGATTGGTGAGCATTTGGCCGTCGAGGGCTTCAGGGCAAAGGCACGTTCATTGGAGATG